GTCAGTGCTGAGGGAACGGGCACTGTCGGAGGGTCAGTGCTGAGGGAACGGGCACTGTCGGAGGGTCAGTGCTGAGGGAACGGGCACTGTCGGAGGGTCAGTGCTGAGGGAACGGGCACTGTCGGAGGGTCAGTGCTGAGGGAACGGGCACTGTCGGAGGGTCCGCGCTGAGGGAGCGCCGCACTGTATTAGATTATTAACAGCAGAATGTTCACTTTGCTAAGCTTTCTGTCTGTGTACACTGGTGACCAGAATCATTAACCAACACGACCCACACCTTCCCTCTTGTGTCCCGGTCCCCAGCAGACAAGCTTAGCAACTCCCCACTCCCGTCACCCCCACCAAAAGTCTCCAGACTCTGTCCGCAGGAGGTGGTCTGTACGATGTGTAAATGGGACACCGCCGCAGCAGTGTGTAAAGGGGACATTGCAGTGGCTACAAGGGAAACAATGTATAAATGGTGCATCATGGTGTGTAAACGGGATGCCACAGTGCGTACACAGGACATTCTAATGTGTAAACAGGACACTGTTGTCTATGTTGTAGGGGCTTCGAGCTGCACGGAGATACTAAATAGGCTGGGGGCTATTTTCCCTGGAGATTGGGAGGCTGAGGCGGTGACCTTATAGAGGTTTACAAAATCACGAGGGACATGGATAGGGTGAATAGCCGAGGTCTTTTCCCCCAGGGTAGGGGGGAGCCCAAAACTGGAAGGGCACAGGTTTAAGGTGAGAGGGGGAAAGGGACCTGAGGGGGTAAAATTTTCACGCAGAGGGTGGTCTGTGTATGGAACGTGCTACAAGAGGAAGTGGTGGAGGTACAATGACAACATTTAAGAGGCATCTGGATCGGTGCATGGATAGGAAGGGTTTAGAGTGATAGGGGCCAAATGCTGGCAAACGGGACCAGACTAATTTAGGATATCTGGGTCAGCACAGCCTGGAGGGTTTGCTTCCATGCTGTACATCTCCATGAAGGGGACACACTGGGGCGTAGCGGGGAGCATGCCCCACACTCAAAGGGCCACCGCGGTGGGGCCATGCAGTCGCTGGTGACTGCGCAGCGAGCCGGCGCGGGTGAAGGCCTTGCCGCAGGCGGCACACAGGAAGGGTCTCTCGCCGGTGTGTACCCGCCGGTGGCGAGCCAGCTTGCTGGGCTCCAGGAAGGCGCGGCCACAGGCAGCACAGCGGAACGGCCGCTCACCGGTGTGGGTGCGGCGGTGTGCACTCAGGTTGCTGGAGGTGACGAAGCCCTTGCCGCAGGAGGTGCAGCGGAACGGCCGCTCACCGGTGTGGGTGCGCTGGTGGGCCAGCAGGCCACCGGCGCTGGCGAAGCCCTTGCCACAGGCACCGCAGCCAAAGGGGCGGTGCCCGGCGTGGAGCCGCTCGTGCTGCGCCAACCTGCCCTGCTCCAGGAAGCCGCGGCCGCACACCGGGCAGGCGAACGGCCGCCGGCCACCGTGGATGCGCTGGTGCCGGGACAGCTTTCCGGACTCGGCGAAGGCCTTGCCGCAGTCGGCGCAGCGGTAGGGCCGCTCGCCGGTGTGGGTGCGCTGATGCACGGCCAGGTTTGGCGACGCCGCGAACCCCTTGCCGCAGACCGTGCACTTGTACGGCCGCTCGCCGGTGTGCGTGCGCCGGTGGGCAATTAGGTTGCTGGACGAGACGAAGCGCTTCCCGCACAGCGGGCACCGGAATGGCCGCTCGCCGCTGTGAGCCCGCTGGTGGTCCGCCAGGTTGCCGGACGTGGCGAATCCCTTGCCGCAGACCGGGCACTCGAAGGGCCGTTCGCCGCTGTGGTACCTCTGGTGCGTCTCCAGCACACACGCCCAGCGAAACAGCTTGCCACACTCCGAGCACTGGAAGTTGGAGCCCGCCCCCTCGCCCGAGGGTCCAGCAAGGGCCTCCGACGCCTGCTGCTGCCCCTCACCCTCCATTGCCTGCCCAGACAAGACAAACAAGACAGTCAGGGACACCAGAACATTCACCAAAAAACACTGCAGTCAACAAATGGACACCAAAGTTGGTGGCATTCTAGAGAGTGAAGAACGCTGCCTAAGATTACAAAGGGATCTTGATCAAATGGGTCAATGGGCTGAGGAGTGGCAGATGGAATTCAATCTGGATACGTCTGAGGTATTGCATTTTGGCACAACAAACAGAGGTAGGGCTTATACAGTGAATGGTAGGGCCTTGGGTTGTGTTGTAAAACAGAGCGACCTAGGCGTTCAGATATGTAATTCTTTGTAGTTTGCATTACATATCGACAGGGTGATTAAAAAGGTGTTTGGCACGCTTGCCTTCATTGCTCAGACCTTTGGGTATAGGAGTTGGGATGTCATGTTGAGGTTGTACAGGACATTGTTGAGGCCTCTTTTGGGTTACTGTGTGCAGTTCTGGTCACCCTGTTTAGGAAAGATATCAATAAGCTGGACAGGGGTCAGAAGAGATTTACCAGGATGTTGCCGGGAATTGCAGATTTGAGTTATAAAGACAGACTGGATAGGCTGGGGCTTTTTTTCACTTGACCATCAGAGGTTGAGAGGCAACTTTATAGGGGTTTATAAAATAATGAGGGGTATAGATAGAATTAATGGCCGTTGTCGTTTCGATAGGATGGAGGATTTCAAGACTAGGGTGGCATATTTTTAAGGTGAGAGGAGAGAGATTTAAAAAAGACATGAGGGTCAATTTTTTTACGCAGGGGGTGGTTTGTGAGTGGAATGAACTTCCTGAGGAAGTGGTGGATGCAGGTACAGTTACTATGTTTAAAAGACATTTGGAAAAGTACATGAATCAGAGAGGTTTGGAGCAATATGGGCCAGGAACAGCAAGGCGGCATGGCTTAGTTTGGGTTTATGGGCGGCATGGACCAGTTGGATTGAAGGGTTCTGTTTCCATGCTGTGTGATTCTATGACTCGAAGGTGGATAAGGGCAATGCGGTTGATGGTATCTATTAACACAATCAAAAATTCAATGAGGTGACATGGGATCTGCTTGGCAGCAAAACTGAGCACCCAAAGGGTGACTGGGATTAAGGATATAAATATAATGGAATAAGCAGTGGCTTATTTCATCCACAGATGGGAATATGACATGGGATAGACCCGACAGCGGGTATTAACAAAAACTCTGCTCCTTTCAATGTACAACACTGAGTAGGGTTTTGCAACAGACCACACAAGTGCAACGACTGCAGCTGATGTGAAGGTGGGGGGAGTGAGGTGCTCGACCGAGAGTGTGTGATAATCACAGATAGTGGAGGTACCCAAAGTAATCATCTGAGTAAAATAATCATTAAGAATCCGAGATAACGTGCGATTCAATGTGATAATATTAGTGAGATACATAATCAATAATAATCTCAGAAAAAGTGGGGTCAATCTGTTCATTTCAGTCAGATAATCAACAATTTGACATAAACTACGAGTCAATAGGAAGCAATGGCGACCAGTCTACCCACACTGCCCCGCGCGTGTGAAACCACCCTATTCGAGAAGCGTGTAGGCCGCTGGCTCCGTGGAGGACGCAGCTGGGGGATGATCCATGGCCAAGTCGCTTACCGATTGCAGCTTCGCGATGTCGCTGACAGTGTATGGAAGTCTCTGCAGATGTGCTCCGCCACTATCGGCGACGTTGCCGCTCCTCGTCCTCCTTCCTCTCGGCGGGAAAATGGCGGCTGCGGACGTGAAAACGCGCGTGCGTCGTTGCCGGCACTTCTGCGTCTGCGCACTCACCCTGTTGCCGGCACGACCGTGCCCGATGGCGCCTGCGCAAACTCGAGTTGTTTCCACCCCCAAACACTCCCAGGACAGGGACAGCACGGGGTTAGATACAGAGTAAAGCTCCCTCTACACTGTCCCCCCCATTAAACACTCCCAGGGTCAGGGGGTTAGATACAGAGTAAAGCTCCCTCTACACTGTCCCCCCCATTAAACACTCCCAGGGACAGGGGGTTAGATACAGGGTAAAGCTCCCTCTACACCGTCCCCCCCATCCAACACTCCCAGGGTCAGGGGGTTAGATACAGAGTAAAGCTGCCTCTACACTGTCTCGCCCCATCAAACACTCCCAGGGACAGGGACAGCACGAGGTTAGATACAGAGTAAAGCTCTCTCTACACCGTTCCCCTCCCCATCCAACACTCCCAGGGACTGGGGGTTAGATACGGAGTAAAACTCCCTCTACACTGTCCCCCCCATCCAACACTCCCACGGTCAGGGGGTTAGATACAGAGTAAAGCTGCCTCTACACTGTCTTGCCCCATTAAACACTCCCAGGGACAGAGACAGCATGAGGTTAGATACAGAGTAAAGCTCTCTCTACACCGTTCCCCCCCCCCCCCC